TAGAGTAAAGTCAACAGATTATAACCTCATCCACTGTTCTGTAATAGATCCCAAGTGATTCAAGGATATATGCTGTGTTTAGAAATGGGTTTGGAGATTTTCTATAATGTCAATAATTTAACATTAAAGACATATTTTAACCAATAACCCTAAAAACATATGTGCAATACATTACACTGGATCGCGATTTTAAATTGCTTGAACATTTAAAAAGGATTAGAAAATTATTATTAAAAAAGTACAAGAATGTTAAGAGACAATGGATGACGTCAGACATCGCTGACGCTGGGCGCCGAAAGTGAAAATAGCTGAGTCCACGTTTTAATATCCAAACTTCACAAAATCAAATATCGTGGCATTGCAAACAAAGCAGTCACCAGAAAAGCGCTTCCTAGGAGAGCCGTACACCCGTTACAAAGATCAGTGCCACAACATGCAATGCAGACTTCCACAGTAACTGTTGGATAAATGAAAACATAAAAATAAGAAGATAAAATCGTCTAATATTTTCATGACCGATGTTTTTAGTTCAGCTGTATATTCCGTAAACGCAAACCTTTGAAATAAATCACAATATACTTCAGTCACGTGTCTTACACATGACTGAATGAGGTCTTTTGATATAGAAAATACATTGAGTATGTATATAATAAAAAAGTATCTGTGGAAACATGCATTTGTTATGGTACAACTCAAGTTGATACGAGGTACCCATAATATCTACACTCACCATTACTGAACGATTGTTTACAGCCTATGAAACACAAATCTCTGTCAGCACATCCCCTTTGGAAATAATCATATGAGCCTTTGTACTTCTGATTATGTTTCTAATGAGGGTAGCAAACAATAATTGAAATACTAATAACGAACAGGAAAGTATTTTCAAGTATAACAACTTGTTGGAGCCCATATTTATGGAATAAAATGAAACAGAATGTTTGTCAAAACAAAAAGACTAGTAAGACTACATCAACATGTAAATAGTATGTGACGTCATGAATTATTAATTTGGATTAAACCTAAAAGACTGACAAACAGGGTTAGGAAGTTTCCAGTTATTCATGCAAATTTGTATGATAAATATTTGTTGTATTACACATGTATATATGCTCAATAACTACCAGGGTCGATACAAATCTATAACAGAATATACTCACTGCACATATTTGGTCATCACCACAGTCTTCGGCAAAATCAGAAAGGTCATTTCCTGTTACACAAGGATCGTCAGTAGCAGGATACCGTGATTCACACACGTAGCATCTCCTTGATTCCACACCACGTGTAGAAAATATAACTATTGAAATGTAATCATTCACATAAATGTTGGATTCGTATAATTATAACACGTTCACAAACACGATGACAGTTCTCATTTATTATACACCATTTTTCGATGACATACTAGTATACAACAAATTATGCATAGAAACGACACTTAATAACCGGTCTTGAGCAAAATGTTATGATCTGGCAATATAACCAATGTAATCCAGAAACCAAAAGCAACTTTTCCTGTAAAAATGTGTGATGTATGTTCTTTGAATACAAAATAAATAATTGAAATGGCATTAATGCCTAGTCGTAGGTGTTTGTTCTTTTAAACCATATCTCTCACGAATGGAACGTAATCGACGAATCTACGATTCAAATGAAAACAATGTACAAATCAAGATATTCATATATAATGACAAGCAATTAGAATATATTTTCTGACAGCAAATATAATACATACGGAAAGCAATGGCCAGCAAGAAACGCATGATGAACAGTAACTAAAATATAAAACAACGAAAATAATTGGTTTATATGAACAAAAAATACTATTAGGGAATTCGTTTTTACACAGAATTAAAGCGGAGAGTCGTCACCTGCGCATGTGCCAGACATCCATTGCGTGTCGTTGTTTACAAACCCATGAACCTTTGCGTGCGCAGGTGACGACGCCTTTGCTTTAAATAACGTGTAAAATTACACAATCAGGCGAAAATAATGCGGATTTATTATTCATTTATTTTCTGGTTTGTAAGAAGTCTGGACAATGCCGCATAAAATATGAAAGTTTTTTGTTTGTTTTGTTTTTACTTCGAGAGCATTCAATAGGGGTATTGAGACTCTAACGTTACATGCCTGATAATCTTAATCACCCCTCTTGTATGAGTGCTCTCAGAGTACAATACTATTTGACGAAAGTGGAGATATTTGAAGTGGACTCATAGTATCAATGGCGAAAAAATGTTAGGGGAGGGCCATCAATCAAGCTGAAACACTTTGTGTATTCGTGTCGGTGCGACACAGTTGAAGAGGAATGTCTGTCTTGCCCCTCAAAATCTCCAATTACAATGCGTGGTATTGTGCAAGAAACAGTGATCGTAAAAGTGATAAACCACTATATATAATTAACAATTTTATGAGCGCCCTTTTTACTTGTGTGAGTGTTGCCATGGTTTGATTCATTCATGAAACGCCGCAATAATCTTGTCTCTTTATACATGTAATAAATATAAGGCATGTGAGAGTACTAAATTAATTCACTGCTGGCAAATGCATTGTCAGTTGTGTAACCCACAAATTCGAAACGAATTTTGAACTCTTCTGCCAAGCAATTTTATATCTGCCCTGTAGCACGAAAACAGTATCAACATCACTTGGTGTATACGTCGATTGTATTGACGTCGTACTCGTTAACATAATTCGGTGTAAACATGCATTACACTCATGGGGAGTTAGAACAATCATACCAGCCAGCACTGAACTTGTTGATAATCACCTCGATACAGAAGACAATGACACCCACTCCAGGGAAATAACAGGGTTTTTTTCCATGGCGTTCATATTCGAATTCGGATAAGCTTTACTATACACGTCTGGATTAAGAGGCTGGTGTACATTTTGTATTGCATTGTCATGCCGACGAGTTGACGTGTTGTCCCGAATGACTTTTTCGGGAGCGAGCGGGTCGGGACATGCGTGAGTGTAATTTATCATAAATGTCATGTCCATATTTTCTACCACTGAGCGTCGAAGATGTTGTCATGGGCATAAATATTATCATCGGCTTAAATTTAATAGTGCTACATTGTCAAATAAATTTGTGTCACATATAAAAGAACCATGGATCTGCACTCAGTGACTTGAAGCGTTTACGGATTACGTATTTGGATTCAGGTACACTGAGATATAGACAAAATGTTATTTCCACCATACCCCTTTATTTCCAAAATCAGTCTGTTCCTATTCAGACTTAAATACAACAATACAATAGCCTCTAAGATAGCCAATTATATAAATGCATTGCAGCGTATAAATATTTACAACTGCCATCATAGTGATACACCTTGTATCACTATGCCTCCATCGGTTATATTATCTCAAGTGATCTGACTATTGTGCAACGTGCGGGTCTTCGACATTTAGAGAGCCTTCTAAAATCAATTGGCGATATAATTTTATAATCATTTTAAAGAGCATACAAATAAATTGGCTAAAGGCGTTGAATCCGACACACTGTCGTAATGAAAGCTATTCACAAACTTCAATCGTGCTTCCAGAGTAGACCTAATGTAAATTTAGTGATCTGGAATTACGCAAGTGTCTTATCTCTCTTCATGACAAATGAATGTCAAATGTGATTGTCCCTGCTGACACGCTGCTATCGTATTGTGTTTCTTGTAGGAAATATTATTATGATTTTTTTAATCAATGAACCCAGTTTCTCTGTTGCCTCAAGTAATTCTGTCAATAATTCTGCCTATACTAGCAATTTACACCTCTGAAAACATAAATACAAAAGGAGCTGAAGAATGACACCCACTCCAGGGATATAATTATTTTCTTTCCATGGCGTTCATATTCGAATTCGGTTAAGCTTTACTATACACGTCTGGATTAGGAGGCTTGTGTACATTTTGCATTGCCTTGTCATGCCGACTAGTTGACGTGTTGTCCTGAATGACTTTCTCGGGAGCGAGTGGATCAGGTCACGCGTAAGTGTAATTGCCAAAGGGAATCTGCACTACAATAAATAGTGTATGTATGCGGTAAATTGGTAAACATACATTCCTACATGGTTAGGAAATACATTAAAATAGAGAGATATTTACCTGGAGCGAATCAAACACGCTTGTGTGGCTAAAATACTGGAATCGTAATCTGTAATAAACCAACCACCAAGTACAATTAACATGACTATAATTTGAAAAGCATTGTAAAAGTCGGGCGCCGTGCCAAGTTCGCGCTGCCACATATTCGCTGCAAAACACTTGGGTAATATTCGGTTCCACAAGGTGTATCACTATGATGAATGAAATATATTAATGGATGCCAGTACAGTTTTGCCATGCTAGAGTACTTACTTTTAAAAATACATTGTCTTCTTTTGTCAAAATTATTAAACATTAACATTCAATAAATACAATAAAATACAATAACAACAAAGATGACCTAAGGTGACATCAATGTCCCTTGTATGATGTAGAAATCAGGTTTCAAGCAGAAACCATTTGATTGTGAATGATATATATTGTCGAGCAGTATGTACCTACATTATTCAACTGTAACCAGAAATTATTGCTGAACTCCCATTCATTCACCCATACTTGTAGCCTTTTACAACATCCATGGATATGATTTACATCTCCATTAAACCATTGCTCGATTTGATCGTGAATATGGTTCAAATAGATAAACTGCAATTTGTTGGACTGTTTTTGTTTAAGTAAACCCTGTTATAATCCAGACAATTGAAAGTTTATTGTTAAACATGCTGCTTTTATCTGATTTATCATAGGAGGTTATTATTGTCACATTGATGAAATGTAATAACCCTTTATGCGAAGATATACATTCGTAACACTTACACATTCACATTACATATTCGTAACAATTAATGACAGTCACATTTCATTACCCAGCAGAGTATAAATGTACGTACATTTGTAACATTTAATGACAGTCATACTTCATTGCCCAGCAGAGTATAAATGAACATACATTCGTAAAATGTAATGCAGTCATGCTTTATTACCGAATAAACAGATGTACAATAACGTTATATAATACTATGCATTTTTACGCATTGTGATGTATTAGTACATTATTTTTTTGCAAATACTATAGTAATATAGAACTGGCGAGCTTTGATTGCAATCGACAGGTGGGAATAGAACATTATTTGAGGGACGAAAAGTCACGTGATTATCCCTGTCTCAGTGGTCATGCACGTCTAGGATATATTAGATATTGAAAAATTTAAAGCGCGAAGCATACATGTCTTCATAGCCGTATTTCAAATAATCAAATATAGTGCAGTTGCAAATACAGCAGACATCAGGAAAGTGTTCCCAAATAAATTGGTACTACCATTGCATTGGTCAGTGTCACAGCATGAAGAACATTGTTCAGTATCTGAAGGGTGAATGAAAACATAAAATATTACAAAAATGCGAAGGTAAAATCGTTTTGATAACATTTTGTTCACCTGCATATTTCACGAATGCTGAACAACATTGAAATTTGAATCACGTGACTCTCACATGACTGGAAGAGGTATTTTGATATAGAAAGTATATTTATCATGTATTTACAAATAAAAAATAAATATTTTTGGAATATGAATTTGTTACGATACATCTCCAGTTGATACGAGGTATCCATAATATCTGCACTCACCACCAATAAATGATGTAACACAGCCAATGACACAATGATCGGAGTCAGCGCATCCCCTGTAGAACAATTCATACGAATCTCCAGTCTTCGCATACGATGTCTAAGGAAAGTAACAGACAATAATTTAAATATAATTAATAAGGAAATGACACAGACACAAGTAGTTGGGGCAAAATAAGGAGGAGTGTGCATCACCCATGCGCCATTGCCGGAACTCATCACGTGATGCTAATCGCTGATTAACGAAGGAGGGAGTTACGTGTGGTACCTCGAATGAAGCCAGTCATCGCAGAGGTCGCCTCGGATACCCTTTCCATGCACAGAGTCGCCTGTTTGAGTTCATTCACGAAGAATGGCAGCATGGTAACCGAGTGGTGCCAACCTCTAAATTATGAAATGTTGCGATGTGGAGACACTATGCTTTTAAGTCATTCAAAGAACGCATTGAAATACACAAAATGGGAAAACCCTGAATAAAGCAAATCTAGTTAATATCAGTTAATATCAGCTACATGTGTGTGAGACAAAAAGAAAAACATTAACAAAATACAATAGATAATATCACAACCACCAATCAATTCGCTGTGAATGTCCGGGGTATCATAATGCCTGAGATAGGGTGTTTTATTCCGCATAAATTATGATTATGCGACACAAAATAAAATCAAAAATGTCAAATAGCAAAGTGCCAACCTAATACTAGGACAAAATAAAAATGTCAAGCCAATGCCAACCCAATACAAAGACAATATAACAATGTCAAGACATTGCCACCCTAATGCAAAGACAATTTTAAAATGTCAACTTAATTACAATCTACAGATAAAAAAATCGAATAAAGCAAATATAAATAATCTTAGCAATGATCTCACCCCATATACATGAACAAAAAAATGAAAATTCTGGGAAATCAATATGATGGTGGGCACAAAAGTACTCGAAGCTGAATGTTGAAACAATAGAATATAACCTTATCTGAAATAGCAACCAAACAACTGAACACAATCTAGTTCATAACGCCAACGTAAATGTAGCAATGTATATACACATGCTTTATCGTGGCAATATAAAATGCTGAAACCCGTATGTGATGCGATGTTAAGTCAATTATCGTCAGACCTACAAGTACCTGACTGCATGTGGTTCTTTTGGAATCAAGAAAACTTAAATATGAAGTGAATACGACTGCAAGTATTGAAACTGTAACAATATGCTGGTGCTAAGTTGTAAAAGGCAATTTTATAAAAAACGAAACAAATAAAACTGTAATGCTGCAATTTTATGATATTCATGCAAAAAAAAATTGCAATTTCATTATGATGCAATTTAATTGGTATGTATTAAAATGTTAAAGCTTGAAAGAAAGCAATACAACAATTCCGAACGCATGGCAC